GCCTGTGGACTTGCTGTTTCCTCTGTCTGGAATGTTGCTCTTCTACTAGTTCTCCCCATTGTTTACTCTCTTTCTTCAGTCTTTGCCCAAATAACACTTTCTCAGTGAGGCCGCCTGATAATTTGAATTAAAGTTGCAAAATCCTTCCCACTCCCCCCCCCTTCACCACCACATTCTCTATCCTTCTCCCCAGTTATCACCATCTAATGAACTATATGTTTCATATTATACATTTTAGTTATTATTCGTTTTCCCCCTATAAGAATGTAAATTCAAGAACTATTGTCTTTTTTTTTTTTTTTTTTTTTTTTTTTCTCTCCTATTAACTACTATATTCCTAGCCCTTAAAATGTGTTCTGTTGGGGCACCTGGGTGGCTCAGTCAGTTAAGCGTCTGCCTTCAGCTCAGGCCCTGTATTGCAGGGTCCTGGGATCGAGCCCCACATCTGGCTCCCTGCTCAGTGGGGACCCTGCTTCTCCCTTTCCCTCTGCTGCTCCCCCTGTTTACACTCTCTCTCTCTCTCTGTCAAATAAATAAATAAATACAATCTTTAAAAAAATGTATTTTGTGGATAGCAGGTGATCAATAATTTGAGGAATGAACAAAACATTAATAAAAATATTCTAAATACCTATATAAAGCTTCTTTGAACTTATTATGGGGAAGAGGAGTACAGGATATCCAGGAGTGAGTCCCTTACCCTTTCAGGCACTCAGCTAACTGTGTGGGTCTCCCACTTAATAGACCACTTAGAAATAGCTGTGCTCTTTCAGAAACACAAAAAATTCATAGTGGACTGAAAATAAAATGACAAAATATACACTGATGGCTAAAATCAATAGCATCTCATCTCAGATTCTAGCAGAGACAAGTAATGAAAGTCACCAGAAAGTTTAAGAAAAATGAACATTTACTGAGTAGCTAGTGTATGCCAGAGGGACAATGATCATTCTGATATGGTCCAGCCTGCCCCAAAAGCTGATGGGAAAGATGGCCATGGAAACAGACAACTACACAATATTATCACCACTCCACCAGGAGGAAAATGTAGTAACTACAGAGGCATAAGAGAAGAAAGAGTGATTCAGTGTAGTACCAGAGGAGGGTGATATCTGAGCTGGGTTCTCAATAGGGAGAAGGATATGCCCCAGAAGAGAAATTTAAGTGAGAAACATTACATCACTATTTTTTTTCCCTACTTAGTAGAAATGCCTACCTATCCGGATTTTTACAGGAAAAAGCTTGGCCAAGCTTGCAAAACTCTTAAGTTGTATAGAGCAGAATTTGAGAACTCATGGTTATTGGGACATCCAGGGACAGGCTGAGTGAAAGGGACAGATGGCAGGAAGAGAGATCAACATCTTCATTGGGCAGAGTAAAGCAGGAGCCACTTAATATCATAGAAGCATCATAGGCCTGAGGCTCCCATGGTGAAGGTGGGGGAGGGAGTGGGAATGGCAGGAGCACTTGATTTCTGTCTTGGCACTTGCCGGGAGCACCTCTTCTTCTTTTCCTCCTCTACTTTTTTTTTTTTTTTTAAGGATTTAATTTATTTATTTGATAGAAGACATAGCGAGAGAGGGAACACAAGCAGGGGGAGTAGGAGTGGGAGAAGCAGGCTTCCCGATAAGCAGGGAGCCTGATGTGGAGCTTATGATCTGAGCGGAAGGCAGATGCTTAACGACTGAGCCACCCAGGCGCCCCTCCTCCTCTCCTTGATAATGTTGTGTGCTCCTGAAGACAGAGGCCACCTTGGCAGTTCAGAAAGATCCCATGTTCTGAATTTGAAGGCCTGGATTTGAGTTTCATTAACTATGTGATCTTGTGCCCACCTTCCAAAACTTCTCTCGTCACAGTATAGAGTGAAGTCTGAGCTCCTTGGCTTGGCACTTAAGACCCTTCTCCATCTGGACCCTGATGACTGCTCCAATCTCATCTACCCTCAACCCTTCTCATCCCAATTGTCAGGCAGACTCTTATGAAGACTCTGTGCCCCCACAGACACTGCTCTCTCAGGCTGACATTTTGCCCTCCCCTTCCCCAAACTGGAGAATTCTCATTCCTCTCTGAAGACATGATTCTAGTGTTACTACCTACCTACTTTCCTGACTGCTAGTTTAGCAACTGCCTCTAGGCCTTAAAAACCCAGAGTTTCCTCTACCTCAGTGTCTAGAATGCTTGTGCTCTTTCCCATTTCTATCCACTCTCCTTGGAACAGCCAGAGGGATCTTTCGACATCATAAGACTCCCTGCCACTCCTGTACTTTATTTATTTGACAGACAGAGATCACAGGCAGGCCGAGAGGCAGGCAGAGAGAAAGGGAAGCAGGCTCCCCGATGAGCAGAGAGCCCAATGCGGGGCTCGATCCCAGGACCCTGGGATCACGACCTGAGCTGAAGGCAGAGGCTTTAACCCACTGAGCCACCCAGGCGCCCCGACTCCTGTACTTCAAATAACATCAATGGGCACTTGGGGGGCTCAGTCAGTTAAATGTTGACTCATGATTTCAGCTGAGGTCCTGATCTCAGGGTCATGAGATCAAGATCTGCACTGGGCATGGAGCCTGCTTAAGATTCTTTCCCTCTTCCTCTGCCCCTCCCCTTTCCATCTCTAAAGGAAAAAAAAAAAAAAAAGATAAATAACTACAACAACAAACCACCCTCATTTCTTGGCTTAAGACCATAATCTTTATTGTGGCCTACTAGCTACTTTGTGATTTCACCCCTTACCTGCCGCATTACCTTCCCCTCTCACCCTTTGCTGTCTGTGCTCCAGCCAGACGAGTCTTTTTTGCTTCTCAATGCACCATGTTTCTCTCTCCCTCAGGACCTTTGAGCTTGCTTCCTTGCTTCAACCTGGCTACTTTTTGCTTATTCTTCAGAGTGCAGATCAAACTTCCTCTGGGAAGCCCTCCTTGCCTGCCTCCCTTTCCCTCACCAAGCTAGTTAAGGTGGTACTTAACACAGTAGTAATTAGAGACCTATTTATGAATTAGTTAATACCTGTCTTCCCCTGGGTAGGGACCATGCTGTCTTGTTCATCACTGCATAAGAGGTGCCTAGAGCAGAACCTGGTACAGACCAGGTGCTCAATAAGTGTTTGTTGAATGACTATAGGAGTGCTTAGCCCTTACAACATTACAACAAATCTCCAGTTTACCTGGTTTCTCATGAAAGAGGACTTCAGCTGCTTCCATTTTGACCTCAAAATTCCCCGGTTGGGCTCTTTTTTCCAGTTTGTCTCTTGGCTCAGATGGAAGACCTTGCAGGCAAAGCATCCCCTGATGGGAACCCAAACCACCCTTTTAAGCAATCAGGACTGCCCTGAGCCAGCAAGACCTTGACCATGACTGACTCCAAGACAATTTGATCAATTTGACTGCTACTGCCTCCCTGCACATAGCCACCCACTTTTGCCCTACATTTTCCATATATAAATCTGGAAGTACTCTTGGCACTTTGGAGATAGTCTTTGAGAAGTTAGTCCACTGTCTTCCAATGTTGGCCTCACTGAAATAAACTCCTTTCTCATTTTATTACCACTCATCTCTCTGCCTTTGATTTTGTCAGTAACAAGTGGCTGCACTTGGTCTTTTGGGACCCCTGGAGCCAAAAGCTCTTGCACCCCGTGTGCCCCGGCTGTTCTCTAACAGCAGCCTGTTAGCTCCTGAAGAACCAGCACAGCATCAGCACCCAGCACCATGCTTGGCACTTTATGGGGCTCAGTAAGGGTTTTCTGATGTGGGAGACACTGTGATGTGCCGCCCAGATTCCCCATCAGTGAAGACCTGAGATATCAGCTGCTGGGAGTGTGGTCAGTGGAAAGCCTTTAACGATCGGCCCCTCCAAGGACAGGGTCACCTTGGCTCCCCTCAGGCCCCTTCCCAGATGGTCCCACATCCAAAGACTGATGAGGCAGGGATATAAAGGGATATAAAGCCCTGGCCTGGCCATTTTAGCTAATCTGGGGACTACCCTGATGGGCCGTTCTAGCTCCAGAGTCTCCAGAGACTCCATGGGGTCAGCCAAGACTGTCCTTGGGCCTGCAAGGAACTCTGGACTTGTGCCCACTCCTGTTCCCTCCCTCCCTTCCACAGGTGTTGATTCCACAGGTGTTCCCTTATAAAGTCCTGCACTGTAACCTCCATTCAGAATCTGCTTCCCCCAAACCCCACCTGCAACAGGCCCTCTGTCTTTTCTCCCCTTTCTCTGTGCCATCTCTTTCAGGGAATGTACATTCATTCACCTAAAGTTTGTAGGCACCCTTCAGCTGACAAAGCATTCTGAAGTGATGTGGACCAGGAGCAAATGGTCAAGAAATGATTCTTGAGACTTTTTTTGTGCAAAAAGATGCTTTTACTAAGCACGGGGTCAGGACCCGTGGACAGAAAGAACTGCACTGGGCTTGGGAGGAGTGACTAATGATACCCTTTTTAGTTAGTGGGTTTTAGGGATGGACTAAGTCTCTAAGGAATTTGGAAGTAAAGCTTCCAGGACTTTGAGGGGGTTAGGTGCTGCTAAGATAAGGTTATTTACTACTGCCTGGTAAAACATCAGTCATGGACCCTTCGGATGCCTATCATTGGGCCACATGCTCAGGAGGTAATTGCAAATATATCTTGAGGAGTGTTTACAGCTATCAAGGAAAGTGACATTAATAAAAGCAAAGCTATAGCGGTAAAGCAATAAAGGAAGTCCTTGAGAGAGATGTAGGAGTGTTACAATCCGTAAGCCTCAGGAATTCTGCCCGCCGCAGCAAAGTCTGGCCTTTGATTCTTTTTCTTCCGTCAGTTTCACCTCCATTTTTTCTGTTACTCCCATTCTATATCGTCTAGGCGCGTCAGGAAGGGGGACTAGCCAGCCTCCACTGAACAGAGGGAGAAGCTGAAGCCCATTGAAGTCGCGTGACCAGCTTAAGGTCGGTCACTGAGCTCATTAAAAGCTGAGCTCTCAGATCCAGTTTTTCACCTCCCTTTCCCTGCCGAGTCGCTGCATCCTGGAACGAGAAGCCTCACAGTCACTGATCAGAATGGTCTCAGCGGTCAGAATCCCCAAACCATGTTTCTGGGGCCCGGGAACCAGCGCGCAGTCGGACGCTCCCCCGGTGTCGGTGGGGAGACTGAGGTCCAGAGCCCCGTGCTCCAGCGCCAGCGAGGCAGAAAGCGAGGGGGAGCGCCCAGCCTTCCCAGCCGCCCGGCGCCGGGGCCGCCTCCGCCCGCCCCCCACGCTGGGTCCCTCCGCCTCGATTTTGCCCTCGCGGCGCCGTCAGCTCGGGAGCCAGTCATGGTGGTCGCACTGGTGGCGGCGTGGCTGCTCCTGTCGGCCGCGGCCTGCGCGCAGCGGGATCAGGACTTCTACGACTTCAAGGCGGTCAACATCCGGGGCAAGTTGGTGTCGCTGGAGAAGTACCGCGGCTCGGTGAGTGTCCGCCCGCGGCAGCCTCGGCCCCTCCCGGGCAGGGCCTGGTGCCCGAGCCCCGCGACCCAGGACCCTGCGGGTGTGGCTCCGAGGAGGCTCCGCAGCTCTGCCCTGGCTCCCACCACCCCAGACATTCCCCGCGGGGTGCAGCGCCCCCAGATCCTGCTCTGGGTCTGTCCCGCGACTACGTGGCACGGCCCCGGCACGCAGTGAAACCCGAAACTCTCCCAGCGGACGAGGATTTCCCTCCCAGCGAGCGACTTTGGGCTTTGGAGTCTGGACTTCTCCCAGAGGCTGATCGCCTCGGCCCAGCCTTTGTCATGCACGGGTCGGAAAGTAACCCCAGCATCCTGCCGCCTTTGTCTCTCCCACCCCCAGTTTCCGCGTCTGGAGCTGGGATTGTTGCTGCTCTTGAATCTAATGAGAGCACTGTGAAAATGAATGTGCAGTGTAGCGGGGGTTATCTGTTCAGATGCACGGGGACCTTGCCGGATCTCCCTTTAGAGGAGACACTGGGGCCAGCAGAGGAAAGGTTATTTGCACAGGGTCACACAGCTCTGGAAAGCACAGAGCCTGGAGGAGAATCACCCACCCATCTGTGGACTTCTCTAGGCAAACTCCTAAGATGGCAGCTGGGGCTGGGCTCCAAGTCACCCAGGCTAACTGCTATCTTCTTAGCTCAGAGAGGACTCAAAGAGAAATGTGCCTGGGTGAGTCTTGGAACAAAGGTGAGTTTTGGCAAGACCAAGAACATTCCAGGCAAATAACTGTTCATACCAAGGCTCAGAAGCAAACAGCAAGAAGGATGGAGGATGGGTGGGTGGGCTTCAAGGGTTCTGCTTGCAGGAGTATAAAGCTTGAGGCTTAGTGGTAGAAGATGAGGCTGAAGGGAGTAGGGAGGGCCCAAGAGGGGCCTTGAACACTATATTCAGAGGCCTAGATTTTGCACTGGGTGTAATGAAGAGTGCTCAAAGTCCATTTCCCAAGATGGACCTGAGACAAAAAAAAAAGAAGGAAAGAAAAGACAGAGATGAACCTAGGTAGGGCCTTGTTGTGGGAAAGGTCAGGAGTTGGTAATGGACACATAGGGACAGCATCCAGATTTGGAAGGACTGCACAAAAATGGCTATCAGCATTTTTCTCCTGGGAGAAAGTCTTTAGTGAAGAATGCACTTTCTAAACCTTAAAATGCCCAGTTATGCTGGGAATCCTGGGGGCAATATTCCTTGTCCTGATTGTTCCCCAAGGTGTTGTGAATTTCAAATGAGATGATAGTGTGGAAGTGATATGGGAAACAAAGGCAAAAGAAATTAAGTTTTCTTACTGCCTACAGCCCATTGACAAGTCCTTGAAACAGGTAGAGTGATATTCTTCTAGGAGCTCAGCTACCTCGATGCTGACACTTTGCTAAGGGCAAGAGGCAATCTTAGCCTGACCCCCTAGGATCCTGTGTGTCTACTTTAACATACAAAAATTCCTTTGGAAACTTCCTTTGTCTCTACCCTCTAAGATATATGTTAGCAATCATCCTCCAAGCAAATGACCTACTGATATACATATGGAGGATCTCAGGGCTGAGTTTTTACTAAACAGTAATAAATGACCTTTTCCCAACAATGGCTAGCCCCCTCAGAATCCTGGAAACCTTGTTTCCAAAATACCTTGGAGGCTTGTGCTGTCCCTAACCCCATCTCAACCTGAAAGTATATAATCAGCCACTGCTCATGACCCCAGTGCAGCTCATTCGCCCATGGGTCCTGTCCTCGTGCTTGAATTAAAGCACCTTTTTGCACCAGACTTCTCAAGAATTCTTTCTTGGCTGTCAGCTCTGAAACTCAACATTTTCCTACATCAGAAGAACCTGGTAGAGTGCTCTGTACCTGTGTTTGGTGGGCCCCAGCAGGAAACTCATCCAGGACTGAGGACAAAAAAGCCAGTAAGAGTAGGGCCCATTCCCAGTCAGGTCTCACCTTCCTTCTAGTGCAGGTTGACAGAAAGCTCCAGATTTAGCACTTGACCAGCTCTGCTATTCATTCATTCATTATTATTGAGCACCTACTGTATGCTAAGTACTAGGCCGGTGCTCGGGATACAGTGGTGAACAAAACAGACAAGTTTCCACTTTAATAGAGCTTATATAAAATGGAAAAGAGAGAGACCATAAACAGAAACAGAGAAGTGAACAAGGTAATTCCTAGTACAGTGGTACTAAATGCTAAGACATAAATAGAACAAAGTCTATTTATTTTTAGAATTAATAAGGCACTCAGAATGTGAGGAACAGAACTCTTGGAGAAAATGACCCAGAGAAGTGATCCCAGAATTCTGAGTGTTTTGATACTCTAGGTCATTGGTAAATCCTAAAAACCATGGGAGTGAGAAGCCAAGAAATCAATCCGAAAGGAATTGAAACAAACAAACAAACAATCAGAACAAAATCACATACCTACCAAGAGATAAAGTAAGAATTTGAACCCAGGCAGTCCAGGTCCAAAGCCCAAGCCTGTAACTGCAAGGTTTAAAGGGAAACCAGGAATAGTCATTCCAGGGAAGCTGTAAAGGATTCTGTGAATTAACCCAAGCTGGGTCTACTACTTGGACGATAGGGGTCATTCATTTACCTGTAAATAATTACTGACTCATTATGTGTATCTTAATAGTCTTTTTTTAAAAATTGAAAAAGGTTTCCTGGCTCCCAGTACCTGCGTGGCACTGGGTCTAACCCTGGAGACAAAGCCATGAACAAGAGCGTACGGTTTGTGCTCTCAGGCTAACTGGGAAGGCTGTCATTTAGACCAGTGTTGAGTATGGATGAATAGGTGACCACCTGGGAAAGCACTTGTCTCGGGTGTGAGCTTATGTACCTGTGGGCCTGAGTGTAGCCTGTGTGCAAATGGTTTGTTTACTTCTGTGTGCACACCTGAGTCTGTATGTTTGGCTAGACATATATGTAAATTAGCTATGTGTATTTGGGTATGTCTGCCCATCCGTGTTTGGGTTACTTAAAGGATAAACTTTTTGGTTTCAGGAATGGAACTAGAAGCCGAATTTCCCTCCTTCCAAAAAAGTGGGCAGATGCACAAATGTAGGTTAAAAATAAGCAACCTTCAATGTTCTCATTGCCCAGGTATCCAGCAGAGAAGAAAGAGGAAGACCGCTAACTAGGGAAGGGAGATAAGGGTCCTAGTTTCTCACCACCACAGGCAGAATATGACATGCTAACACCAATGAGGGAGGTTGTACTAATGGCCTGTGGCTCCATAGGATGGGTCCTTCCTTATCTGGTGGAGGCAGGGTAGAAGAGTTATAACTCAACAGTTCTCATCATCCAGCCAAGTAGTTGTCAACTCCTCTAGGAGACATACAGCAATGTTTGGAGACATTTTTGACTGCCAAAACTAGACATCTGGTGGGTAGAAGCCAGGGGTGCTGTTAATCTTCCTACAATGAATAGGATAGCCCCTGCACAATAAAGAAATAACTAGTTCAAAATGTCCCTAGTACTGAGGTGAGAAACTCTGCATGGCCTGAGCAGTTTGTGCCTGTGCATGCCCAGTGCCAGACTGCCCCTGGGAGGTGGCCCTCTTTACGGAGACAGCTAGTATAATCCCTGTTCTTCTAGAAAAGCGGCCAAAGAGATAGGCCCAGGCGGCCCAGACACAGGATAAGATTTAGCAATTCTTTTTTTATTTTATTTTATTTATTTGAGAGAGAGAGAGAGCACAGAGGAAGAAACAGAGTCCCTGCTTAGCAGAGAACCCGATGTGGGGCTCGATCCCAGGACCCTGGGATCATGACCTAAACTAAAGGCAGATGCTTAACCCACTGAGCCACCCGGGTGCCCCAGTTTTAAGAATTCTTTAACAATGTATAACTAGAAGCTAAAAACAGCACTGGTGCCAAAATTCTAACTGCAGTATTATAACTGAGTTCTACCAGCCAGCTTTGTATTTATCACCTAGAGGCTATAAATAAATGCATTTATTATAAGGTGATAATAAATTTAAGGATTAGTTACGTTAGACTCAAGAAAGTGATATTTGTGTGCTGGAGAGAGAGGGTAAAATGGGACGGATTACTGTGGGGTCCTTTTATGAAGAAAACCCATGTCTGTCTATATACCCCTGCAGGGGTATGACTGTCTGTGTGCACACTAACTTATTCATTCCACACACACTTTCTGCTTTCTTTTCCATGTGTTAAGCCCAGGAGTGAAGCAGGCGTAGCCTTCAGTGGGTTCACAGTGAGTTTATTACAAGGGAGACCATGTAAAGTGATGAGTGCCGGTTGACTGAGCCAGAAATTGAACTCAGATCTGCCTTTCCACTCCTCCACATTACCTCCTGATGGGAGGTCACCAGCGTGTGTGCCTCTCTCTGTAAATGTGTTGTGTGTGTTTGTGGGCACGTGTGATGTGCTCTGATATATTCTGTATCTTGGGGCATACGCATCCCCATTTATGGAGAGTGTATTCTCATCCTCATGAGTGTTCATGTATGTGAGTGCACACATATCTGCGTGTTTGATTTCATTTGTGCCTGCATGCATGTGTTCTTCTATCTGTGCAAGGACTGCATATTTACATATGTGTACGTTGTGTCTTTGTATTTATGAGAAAGCATTAATTATTGGGGGGCTCACTGTGTGGGCGTGTTAGGTCATGTACAAGTGCATGACTCGTCACTGGGTTGTGTATGTGTCTGGGTTTTGTTTTCGGCGCCCAGGTGTCCCTGGTGGTGAATGTGGCTAGCGAGTGCGGCTTCACGGACCAGCACTACCGAGCCTTGCAGCAGCTGCAGCGGGACCTGGGGCCCCACCACTTCAATGTGCTTGCCTTCCCCTGCAACCAGTTCGGCCAGCAGGAGCCCGACAGTAACAAGGAGATCGAGAGCTTCGCCCGCCGCACCTACAGTGTTTCTTTCCCCATGTTTAGCAAGGTCGCAGTCACTGGCACCGGTGCCCACCCTGCCTTCAAGTACCTGATCCGTGAGTCCTGATCCTTTCCCTCATCTTCCTGTAGCTGGCTGAGGTCATGGCTCCCTGGGCAGCAGAAGCCACTGGAGGGCTGGGTGACCTGGGGCCCCTTCCAGACCCCTGCATGTAGGTTCGTGGCCTGTTCCAGCACTAATCTTTGAGGGTGGGCTCAGAGGTATTCCTACCTGAGAATATCTCTAACCCCAGCTCACCCTGCTGCCTTGAGGTTCTCCCTTACTCTTGCAGACTTCTCTGGGATCCTGTTTTCATATGCGGGGGTTCTTAAAAGGAGACTGGGCCCTCAGATTTAGTCAACATTAATTAGTCGAGGTTATGGACTTAGGTTAGAGAAACCAAGGCACAGACAAGGGATGCCACATGCCTGGAGAAGGCTGACCAAGATGGCTGACAGGTATCTCCTTTCCTGAGTTAGGGGCAAAATTTGTAGACCATGGCAGGGAAACCTTTGGAGCCAAAAATACCAGATCTTAATATTTCAAAAATAGATCCCTTCTGCATCCCCAGGAGCCTCAGAACCACAAGACGGGGTCATGGGCCAAGCTTGTCATTGTGGTCCTGTTTCCTCCCTTGGGCCTTTCTCTTTCTTTTGGGGGCTCCATTTTTGCGTTCTATTCCATGCTTCTGATTGCCTTCCTATCCCTCACCACCACGCCCCATTTACTTGGAAGAGTAAATGAAAAACAACAGTGTAGCAAACAAAAGATCCCTTACTGAGGCAGATCTGAATTTTGCTCTATGGGTCAATCCTAATATTTGCTTTTTTTCCCCTTGTGTGTTTTTATTAGTTCCTTTCCAGTTCCCATAGTTATAGATCAAACCCAACACTGCTTTAGAAGCAACTGGGGAGCTCTTAAAAGTGGTTTAGACTGATACCTACTGAATCAGGGCCCAAGAATCTGTTGCTTTTAGCCCACGCCCCCCCCCCCACCATACCACCACCACCACCATGATTCAGATGCAACCAGTCCACAGACTAACATCTGGAAACTATTAAGATTTCATTAGAGAATAGAGTGTAGACTATTCAGTAGTTTGAGATCATTACAAAAGGAGGATCTGATACTGCTTTATCAAGCACTTCACAAAATCCTAAAGCAATAGTTCTCAACCTTGGAGCCATACTGACATTTCCTGGAGAGCTTTTAAGTAATACTGATGGCTAAATCTTAACACCAGAGATTCCAGTTTAAGTAGTCTGGGGTGTGGACTGGGCATCAGGATTTAATTTGATTTGATTTTAAAAATTTTATTTACTTGAAAGAGAGAGAGTAAGAGAGTGAGAGAGAGAGAGAGAGCACATGCATGGGCAGGGAGGAGGGGCAGAGAGAGAGGGAGAAGCAGACACCCCGCTGAGCAGGGAGCCCAATGCAGGGCTCAATTCCAGGACCCCAAGATCATGACCTGAGCTGAAGGCAGACACTTAACGAACTGAGCTACCCAGGTGCCCCATGGGCATCAGGATATTTAAAAGTTCTTCAGTTAATTCTAACTAATAGAACCACTGCTTCAAGGGAAGGATGGACACCAGTAGTGGAATTCCAGGAGAGGCGACACAGGGAAGCACACTTTGCTCTCCTTCTTCCTTTTTCTCTAGAGACTTCTGGGAAGGAGCCCACCTGGAACTTCTGGAAGTACCTAGTGGCCCCAGATGGAAAGGTAGTCGGGGCTTGGGACCCAACTGTGTCGGTGGAGGAGATCAGGCCCCAGATCACGGCACTTGTGAGGAAGCTCATCCTGAAGAAGCGAGAAGACTTATAACCACTTTCTCTCCTCTCCCCCATCCTCCCACCCCTGCCATCCTCCACCTTGAATGGGTGACCAAAGCAAATTCAGTGGTGCTCAGTGGTGCTATTGACTCTCCTTCCTCCATTTTTAACCCACCTACCCTATCACATCTATGGGGGGAAATTTCTAGTATTTGGGTTATTTGAGTCTTAGAACAACCTATACGAACTCTTGGGCAGTAAGAGCTCTTGACCAATGAATCACCAGCCAACAAGAACCTCTAGCCCATGAAAACATGTGGCAAATAGAAGTATATCAAGCAATAATCTCCTGCCTATTAAGAACTCTGTAAAATGGGACCAATTCCTACCTCACAGGGCTGTTGTGAGGATGAGGATGAAAGATCTATGAAAGTGCCTAGGGCAGTGCCAGTTCACTAGGAGGCATTCAATAATTTTTTTTTGCATATAAACCGTAAAATAATTTGTAATCAATAAAAACTTTTGCCCAGCAGGAATTTCCAGCCATTGAGAATCCAAGGCCAAAGATTTATTTGTTACTGTAATTGATTTCCTCTGTATTATTTTTTTAAATCACAAAGTAATGCAAATAGATTGTAAAATAATACAGGATGATATAAAATAAAAATGAAGATATCCCCTTTATTTTCTATATCTCACTCCCTGGAGGTAAATAAATACTGTCAGCATTTTGGTACAAAGACTTCCTAATTTTTTTTATCAAGCCAATCATTATTGCCCAATAAGAATTCACAGACCAAAACTACACTATAATAACAAATAGGCAAAGGATATGAATAGATAATTCACGGAATAATGTAGATGGATAATAAGGATATGAGAAGATACTCAGCCTCATTAAAGTTGGAAAGATTGTTTTAAATGATAATACCCATAGTTGGTAAGGATGTGGGGAAATGTCATTCATAGTAACTGTTGGTGGGACAATGAACTGGCACAAGTTTTTAAATGGTGATTTGGCAGTATCTTACATCATTTTTCATCCTAGAAGTCTCCCAAACGGTGCAAATATATATGTACAATAATATGTATGTACATTGTTCATAATAGTGAAAACTGGAGGGACACCTTTTGTGGCTCAGTAGGTTAAGCATCTGACTCTTGATCTCATGGTTGTGAGTTCAAGCCCTGTGTTGGACTCTATGCTAGGTATGGAGCCTCCTTATACAAAGAAATGAAAAACAAGACAAGTATCCAATAGTGAAAATTGGATGCAACCCTGTATCCATCAATATGGCCTGACAATGAATTATGGTACAAATCCAAATGGTACACTAATACAGTTATTAAAATGAATGAATTAGGGGCACCTGTCTGGCTCTGTCAGTAGACCATGCAACTCTTTGTCTCAGGGTTGATTTTGAGCCCCACATTGGGTGTAGAGATTACTTAAAAATAATTATAAAAAAGTAAAATTTGAAGGCAGACACTTAACGAACTGAGCCACCCAGGTGCCCCATGGACATCAGGATATTTAAAAGTTCTTCAGTTAATTCTAACTAATAGAACCACTGCTTCATTGGTCTCAGGGTTGATTTTGAGCCCCACATTGGGTGTAGAGATTACTTAAAAATAAAATATTTCAAAAAATATAATTTATGCATCTTATTTTAATTTTTTTTTAGTTTTTTTAAAGAATGTTATACCTAATGTGGGGCTTGAACTCAACCCTGAGACCAAGAGTCACACGCTCTGCTGACTGAGCCAGCCAGGTGCCCCAAAATGAATGAAGTAGATTTCTATATGCTACCATAGAAAAAGTTGTCCAAAAGTGATAAAAGGGCAACTTGTAAAACAGAATGAATACATGCACACACACAAAACTCTAGTATGGGGTGCCTGGCTGCTCAGTCTGTAGAGCATGTGACTCTTGATCTTGGGATTGTAAGTTTGAACCCCATGTTGGGTGTAGAGGTTACTTAAAAATAAAATCTTTTTTAAAAAATCCAGTATAAAGAAGTATAATTTTTTAAAGATTTTATTTATTTATTTGAGAGAGAGAGAATGAGTGAGAGAGAGAGCATGGAGTGGGGGAGGTCAGAGGTAGAAGCAGACTCCTGGCTGAGAAGGGAGCCCCATGTGGGATTTGATCCTGGGATTCCAGGATCATGACCCAAGCTGAAGGCAGTTGCTTAACCAACTGAGCCATCTAGGTACCCCAAGAAGTATAATATTTTTATCAAAATTTTTCTATATTAAGTGAGAGAGAGAGGAACTATTTCTTTTTTTTTTTTTTTCTTTTTAAGATTCTGTTTATTCAAGAGAGGGAGCATGCGGAGGAGAAGCAGAGGGGCAGGCAGACTCCCCAACCCCTGAGCATGGAGCCCAGCACTGGGGTGATGCAGGCCTCAATCTCAGGACCCTGAGATTAGGACCTGAGACAAAGTCAGATGCTTAACCAACTGAGCCACCGAGGTCCCCCTAGACCAAACTATTAATGGTGGTTGTCAATGAAGTAGTCAGGGGAAAGAGGGGATAACAGGAGACCTTCACAGTCTTTGTTAACTATTTCTATAATGGTTGAATTTTGTATGTAAAATATGTGTTTCACTCTTTATAGAAATATAAAAAGAGGCAGCTAAAAACTGAAGTAATGGGCAAAGTCACTCATTGATAATTCATTAACCATAAGAATTTCATGTCCACTTCTCCCAAGGTCACTTTTCTAGAAGGCAGACTCAGATGTAAGTCCTGGCTGTGCCCCTGACTCACAGACTGAGCAAATTGTTTCCTCTCTGCTGTCTTCCATTTTCCCACTGGACAATGAAAAGTTTGAACTGTGCTTATAGTTTTTGCAGTGTCCCTTAGTGGTCCCCCTCAAAAGCTACCCAGAGTAAATGAAGGCTCTCTGTGAGCTGATCACAGGCCCCACGATGGTAGCCTGCCCTTACACAACCTGCTCCAAGTTCCAGCTCTGCGTATGCTATGCGTACACACACAATGAAATGCAGCAATCATAGAAATGTTCATGATGGACACCTCAGAACCACATTCTCAGTGGACATCTCTGACCTGTCCTGCTGGACCTCTCAGCCACATCTGACATTGCTGACTGCACTCTTCTCCCTGACACATTCTCTTCCCTTTCATGCCACTATCTTTCCTGGTTTTATGCTTTTCTCTTTGAGGGCTCCTTCCTTTTCAGATCTGTTGATGTCTCTTCCTCCTGCCCACTCCTTCCCGGTTGCTCTTCCTTGCAGTACCAGGCTGGTCCTTCTTCTCACTCCATGTACTCTTCTTCAGCCATCTCATTTTTCCTCATAGTTTGACCACCACCAATGCCCTATTTTTAAAAAGATTTTATTAATGGGGCACCCGGGTGGCTCAGTCGTTAAGTGTCTGCCTTCGATTCAGGTCATGATCCCAGGGTCCTGGGATGGAGCCCCTCATCAGGATCCCTGCTTCTCCCTCTCCCACTCTCTCTGCTATGTTCCCTCTCTCACTCTGTCTCTGTCAAATAAGTAAATAAAATCTTAAAAAATTGAAATTAAAAAAATACATAAAATATTTTATTTGTGTATTTAGAGCTAGTGGGGGGAGGGGCAGAGGGAAAGGGAGAGAGAATCTCTAGCAGACTCCAGGCTGAGCACAGAGCCCATGATGGAGCTCAGTCTCTTAACCGTGAGATCATGACTTGAGCCAAAATCAAGAGTCAGGCACTTAACCAACCGAGCCACTGAGGCGCCCCACCATGTATGCCCTACTGACACCCAAATCTCTACCCTGTATCTACACTGGACTCCTAGTCACCTGCCTAGTGGGCATGTCTACAGACATTGCAGTTCAGTGCTTCTAGAACTTAACTCATCACCGCTCCCTGACACACCTCTCTCCCTTCCACTCAGCCTTCACAAATCCCCAGAGCCTTTCCTTTCACATACCACTCACTTACTACACTATTATTATTTAAGCGACTGGTTTCCCCTCTCTCCTTAGCCCAGCACCTGGCCTTCAGGATACATATAATTTAACTATAAAGTAAGCATTCTGAGCATCAGCTCCCTGCTGTCCCTGACTAGGACCTATCTAGAAACCAAAGACGAGCAGTTTCCCCCAGAAATTTAGAGTCTAGCTGAGGATTTCGCATTCCCAAGTAGGCCTTCATTCCTATGCTTTTTCAGCATTCTGCTGCTCCCATTGTCCCCTCTAATGTGCAAGAGTTCCCTAGGGAAAAAAAATTTCACTTTAAATCCTTATCAACTGTTACCTTAGTCATTGGCTAACCAGTATCTGCTAACAGCTTAGTTTTAAATTAATCCCTTGGTAATTAGCTAACACTTGATTACTTAATATCTGGTTTTCTACTAGCACTTTAGTTATTTTCTAACACTTTATTTATAAGCAATATATTTTATTTATCAGGTTTTATCTTAGCACTTAGTAGTTTAGCTTTCTGCAAAGCCTTAATTATTAATCAATATTTTGGTTGTCTGCTTAAATCCTATACTGATCCCTTAGCTATCTGCTATTAGTTTAGAGTAAATTAGCAATCCAGAGACCACCAGGTAGGAGTTTGGAGAGGGATCACTTCTGGCTGTGGATATGACAAAGGCCTTTGTGTTTGGCTGATCTCTCCTTCATCAACTGGTCCCGGGTCCTCTAAGAAAGGGAGGTCCCTCCTAATTGCTTATTTACCTCTCTGAGCTGAGCTAAAATGTAGTGAGAGGAGAGTATGACTATGAGGGTGTTTCCTGGAAAGCTATGGTTGAAAGGGACATTCATTCATCAACAAATATTTCTTGAGCCCCGTTTATGTGTCAAGTTCTGCACTAGGGTCTAGGGATACATCAGTGAACAAAACAGGCCTGTTCTCAGCTGCCATGTTACTTAGAGAATAGTGGGAAAGACAAACATTACTGGGAAAGATAAGCATTACACAAATAATTACACCAATTATTACATAATTATGACAAGCACCAGGAGGAAGTACAGGGAGGCTGGCCCTGGAGCTATTCTGGAGTTCAGAGGTCTCCCTAAGGAATGACATTTAAGCCAAGAGCGGAAATTTTATTTATTTCTTTATTTATTTATTTATAAGATTTTGTTTATTTATTTGAGAGAGAGAGTGCACAAGGTGG